TATCATTTAGAACACTATATTTAATAAAATCTATAAAAAGCATAGATGCTCCATGCATTGACAATCGAAACACAGAATTCAGATTCATTTTCAGGTAATGATGTAATCATGTGAAAATAATGCATTTCTGTATTCTTTCAAACCTTTTCTTATGAAAACATAGTAATAAATTTCTACTCTAAAATAGAACTTAGCCTAAATACTTTCAAAACTTTTAGAATTTGGAAGAGAAATAAAAATCTCACATAATTCTGAATGTTTCCTTTGTACTTGAAATAAACTTTATATTTTTTATCTTTGAGTTTATGCAGTTATTTTTAAACGCCACTTTTGGAATTGTGAAAGCTTGCTTTTCACTTGCTGAATGATAATTAACAGTAATCAATTTTTCACGTTAGGATCTCATACCTACCATGAGTTTACAAAGTCTATTTGAATAATCCAATATCAAACATTTTTACTTCGTGTTCTTAGCCATACTTCCCTCTAGACAGTTAGTGTAGAATGCTTTCTCCCGTAAAACACTAGAGAGGAGTGTTCAGTGTGAGTCAGAGAGCAGAATTAGGACGATGGGAGACTATGAGTTCCCCAGTATGACTAAGTGTCATCGTGTATGAAACAAACCCCAAGTTGGTCATTTCCCATATGTGTTCTACTTGTGTTGTCACTAGACTACTTCCATGATCTGGTTATTCTGACAGCTACTTGAACTTGACAAATGTGGGCAAGACAGGTAGGGTGAGGATGTGAGCTTTCATTCACTCTCCTTTCATCATAGCCGGTTGGTCCCAGGGCACGTAGCCCCACATGAATTCTCCTCCTGCTGATGCCTTCTCCAGGCTGACAGCTGGTGGGGTCATAACATGTGGCATTGGAGGTGATGCTGAGGTTCTCATGGACGAGCATCCTCAGCAGGAAACGCCACCCTGACGTCTCCAACAGCCTTCTCTTCTGCGGACTCAGAGACTCTGCTCATCTGCTCCCCTAGACAAGCAGCACATGTGGGCAGCTGGGCCAACCCAGCAGGGAGGTTTCTGTTCGAGGATGTAGCACTGTGGGAGGAAGCTGTATACCTTGCATGCAGTAATAAACCCCAACATCCTCAGCCTCCACCCGGCTGATTTTCAGGGTGAAATCAGTGCCTGACCCACTGCCACTGAACCTGTCAGGGACTCCAGAGGCCCGGTTGGAAACCTCCTGGATTAAGAGCTGTGGAGACTGGCCTGGCTTCTGCAGGTACCAATACAAATAGGTTTTTCCACCACTATGCAGGAGGCTCTGACTAGACCTGCAGGAGATGGAAGCCGGCTCTCCAGGGGTGACGGGCAGGGAGAGTGGAGTCTGGGTCATCACAATATCCCCACTGGTCCCTGAAAAAATAACAAAGTAGTACAAGTTTTTATAAATACATTATGAGCAACTTTCATAATTTCTCTTCTGATGTTAATTTACAGTTACATTTTAAAGTTTTGATTTATATCATGAAAAGTAGACTTTCTAAAATAAAACCATTATTTACTAGCCAGCAGGGAAGTCTTTATTTTCAAGCTCTGAATCAGAGCACTGGTCATCTTTCCCTGGAGGTGAATCCTGATTACTCCTCAGACACACATGAATTCCATTCCCTGGAGCATGGACCATGTGACTCTATCACGTTATTGGAATAAACATGTGAAGCTGTGGAGCCCACAGAACTCACCTCCCACCCAATTCTCCTCCCTGATCTCCTTCATTCCTTACCAGGGAGCCAGAGCACTAGTAGCCCCAGGAGCTGAGCAGGGAGCCTCATTGTGAGAATGTGACCTGAGGAGTCCTGATCAGTCAAGGCAAGGTTAGAGCTGAGCTTTTATCTTAGACTCACAAGGGAAGGTCCTCCCTAGGGGACAATATGCAAATCCCCTGGTAGGTGCAGTGGCGTGGAAAAATTTGATGGGGCAGGAGGAATGTCTTTTCTGCGAACAATGTGATATAAATTGTCCCTTGCAACAAAACAGAGATAGATTCAGTCAAGTCTGCCCACAATCAAGGGAAGAAGGATCTGAAGGGGAAAGTTGGGACCTTTTGTAGGGATGCAGTGTGTAGGGCATGACTGTAAGAAAGCACCAGAACCCTGACCATGTGGAAATGTGTGTCCAGGATACATCTCTGGGAGGTGAATGCCACCTTGCTGGACTCCCTCCCAGTCAATCTAGAGAAGGAATCAGCCCCATCCCCACAAGCACTACTGGACTGAGAGCCAGCAGATAAAAAGCGACCTGGAGCCAGTTCAAGGGCTGTCTGGTATCTACTGTTTCCAGGATAACTGTTCGAGAACGTTCAACTCAAATATTAGAATCTACCCTGCCCTGGCACCTGGTGAGTGAACCGCATAAGAGCTCTCTGTCCAAGGGCCTCACAGAGAGAATGATGTGAGCCTCTACATTTAGACCCAAGAATCCAGTGTAAGGAAGAGGAAAGAGAGACACAATTTTGTGCCTCAGGCAGTGAACATAAAAGTCCTGGTGACCAGTTGTTCAGTCTGGGATCTATCTCATCACAATCATCTCACATATACAAGGTTAACCAGGGAGTTCCTTTCTTATTATTGTTATATTTATTTAGTAGAGGTGGGGTTTCACCATGTTGTCCAGGTTTATCTTGAACTCCGGGCCTCAGGAGATCTGCCTGCCTTGGCCTCCTAAAGTGCTGGGATTACAGGTGTGAGCCATTGTGCCTGGCCCAGAGGACTCTCTTAAGGGAAGAATCTTCTAGATTAATGATACAGAACAAATAAAACATAACTTTGCATTATGTTTTTTCAAGTGGTGATTAGAAAATCTCTTCTCACACAGTCTCCCTGGTCATGTGGAATCAGGTCCTGACAGGGCTTCTAGGTTCTTGTCAACTCTGAGTGAGACCTGAGTCTCCCCCATCCTGGATGTGGTACAGCCACAGCCATGAATCCACAGATCAGAAGGAAATTCTGTATGTGTAAACAACAAGAACTGCATTCACAGTTTTATGTCCCTGGGTAACCTGTACCTGTAACTGATATTTTCTTGACTTTATGTAAAGATACTCAGAGCTTAGGGATGTGAATCTCCCATTCAGCTGATCATTAAACAGAAAGACAACTGCATTATTCTTTATTTGTCATTGATGTGCTTAATATCCCATTGAACGCTATCTGAATCATGGTACCAACAATAAATACTTTCACAAGGACAGTCACATTTATGAAAAAAACTAATAATCCAGGAACAATGAAGGACTAGCTTGTAGTGTGATTGATGTAAGCTTGGGTAATTTAACACAAAGTCATATTTATTTGCCCAAGAACACAAATAAATGCCTTTGTAGGTAAGATTGTAAAGAAAGGTTGTTCTGAATATCTTCTGGGGAATCTACCAAACTATCAATTTTAAATAAGATTGGAAAACATACTTGAGTAAAAATGATATTGACCTTCAAATGTTGAACTCTGTGACAATATTATGAGTTGACCATATCAAACAGTAGCAATAAGGTAGGATTGAAATAAAAGTCTCATATTTCACTGTTAAAATTTTATTTACTCTTTTACCACATTTTGCAAATTTTGTGTACTTGACTTTTTTTTATAATGTCAACAAATTCTGATCTGCTTCTTGGTGTTGAAAAGGTCAGACTCTTAATCATGATAGTGAAAAAAGTCAGAAATATCAGAAGGTGAAGGAATAGAATAAGGAGACATAAACAGCTTAAGGAAAATAGAAAAAAAAGGTCTATTTTATTGTTAGTTTTAAATAATTATTCTGAAAGGGTGTTAAATGAATAACAAGTTTTATCTGTTATCTAATATGAAAATTTGAATTCCAGAAAGTGAATAACAGTAAAAAATGTGTCCCGTTTTCTTTTACTGTAAGTCAATTCTTGAAAATGTTATTTTCGCAAAGTATTTAGATTGCTTGAATTTAAGAAAGCATTGCTATTTCCTGTGAGAATGAATGAACCATTAAAAAGGCCTATCCCTGGGATTTTTAACAAAAATTTCATGATTTGTTGCATTACATATCCAGAAAATGTAAAAACTTGTACAAATCCTTTTTTAGTCAGAAACAGGCTTTGAAATTACCTGATTTAACCTGTAGACCTAAGGAAGACTATTACTAATTCTAAACAGAAACCTCCCCCTCTTGTCTGTTGACACATCATGCCAGCGCTTTCAGAACAGCAAGCAATATGGGTGATCCATCCCATAGACACTGGTCAGTCCACAGTGGACACAGAGAAGATGTAAGAGCAGCCTACAGTTGAACTAGGGTGGGAGCAGAACTCTGTGTGTCTCTCATCTGAACAGTGGTCACCTGAATGAAGGAGGACTTCTACAGGCAAGGTTTAGTGTGGCTGTGGCTCCTTTTCCTGATGCAGTTAGTTTGGGATCCACATAATTGAAAGCAACTGTATTACTCATATGACTTGGGAAGAGAGTCTGGGAAGTGGAATTGTTTGTGTTCATTACCGGGAGTCAGTGTCTATGGGATGGACACGGTGATCCTGTTTGTAGGGGGATTGAGGGATTTGTGGGCTGACCAAGGCCAAGGAAAAAGAGATGACCACAGACGGCAGCAGCACACGTGCCCTCTATTGGATGAAGCTTTGACAGGTTTGCAGGGAGAAGTCCCTCACAGCAGGAGGTAGTCTGGAGACTAAGGTGCCAGGGTTGTTTCTGAAAATGGGTGGGACACTGGAGAAGGGATATGCATCTAGGGGATGCCACACAGCAGCACAGTGGGGAGTTTCTGTGTCAGAGAGCTACAGAGGGCAGTACTAAGTTTAAGGTTTTCATAAACTAGAGCTTGTCTTACCTACTGCTAACAGATGTGGGTGAGGTCATCTGGATACATAGATTAAGTATTTTCGAAAAGGTTAAAAATATTCTTATTTGGGTTGTTTTTAAAACAATTACATTTTAAAAGTTGAGTTTGGCACAGGCCATTGAGAACTAAGCCTATAGTTTCGAAATAAACAACATAGCATTCTCATTTATAGATCACTGCTACACATCATGTAGACTTTTTTCTACAGATTGTTTTAGTCCAGATAATGCCAACCCACACTGCTATGGATGAGGCTGAGACACACACAGGCCTGTTCCCTACCTGAGCATCAATGAACCTTCTTTTAATTAAAGGTGAGATTTTGTCCTTAGATGAGAATTCAGACCAAGTCACCCACAAAGGGAACTCCCATCTGTGAAGCTGCAGGTCCTGTGAATGGATTCCTGGCTCCCAGGTACCTGGGATTGAAGCCCTCTGCACTGTCTCACTAACTGAAACTGTATCTCACTGGAGCATAGATCATGGGTAAATATCCTGGACCACAGAGAGAGCACAGGGAGTCTAGACTCCATGAATGTGCATCATCTGCTTCTGAGAATCTCTCTCTCCAAAAATTGAAAGAAATAGCATTGTTTCCATGTTGAACTTTTCTGAATCTTCAGACCCTGTTCTAGATCTGTCTCATCTGAACCTGTTTCCAAATGTTTTAATTCTGGTCTTTACTTTTTCTTCGAAAAAGTTTTCAGAAATCCTATGAAACTATCCACACAGCTGTGGGATTAAGTGGTGGGCTTCTCCTCTATGCTTGTTAATATCTCTGCAGAATCCACCACACCCACCAACTGCACAAAGTGTAGGCATGAGTCCGTTTTCTTCCTGAGCGTTCTGTGTCTCTTAGGTTCACTTTGAGTTCACACCCTTGAAGAAAGGGGTCTCTGTCCTCAAAAGTAAAACTCCATAAAACCATAGATTGCCTGAGAGGTTAGTAACATTTTTCTACTCTTTGAATGTGAAGTTAGTCTTGAGACCTTACAGTAAAACCTGATTTACTTGAAAGATGGAAAATGAAGATCGCAAGAAGTTTCTAGAGACTGAATTGGGGATTCTAGCCATTTAAACTGTAGTAGAAGCTGCAGGTAATATAAGAACTTCAATGTCTATAACAAGAAAATAAAGTGGAATAACTTATTTACTTTTAACTTAGATAAGAGAGTTTACCTGTAGAAAAAATGAAAATAGAATTTGCGAGATCTCACTCTCATCGTTTTTTTCATGTTAAGCAATTTTAAGAAACAAGCAAATACTTATATAAAATATAATTAATAATGTTTAAGACACTAGAGAAAAATTAGTGTTCAAATTAATTAAACTGAGTTCTAAAGTCAGCTGAATTTCTTTTTTAACTGCTTCTTTTCACCTCCTGTTAGCAAAAATCAAAAGTACAGAAAAGGAAACAGACAAGAGCCGAATAAAGTATTTAGTGCTCATTTCTTGTCTTATAATAATAATAATTAATAATAATACTACAGCCTCTGCACCGACACCTGGAAATATTGACTCTACCCTTCTGGAAGCAGCAGCTTCACATCACGGTAGTGAACTCTATTATTATGTGGTCATTCTTGGGCAGTAGCTAAAGACCACCCAAGTGTAAATGCTTTATGAAGAGCTAATTGCCCTTACTTTGGAATACTTCTAGATATTAACCCTTCTGAAATATCTACTAGCAAAAAAAAAATGAAAGACCAGTTAAAAAATGAAATAAATTCTAACTTCCCAGGAGCAGTCAAGAATAAAACTATCATGTTTAACAAAGGACTAGAGGCATAATTTCTTGCTCGACACTGATTTAGCTGGATCTCACTCATATTTAATAGTCTTACCCTGGTAAATTAGAAACATCCTTAGCCTAGAAAATGGTTTCTTTTGTATTCTGGAATCCCAGCAGCCCTAGGGGAAAATTGAAACTGAAAATAAGAAGGTATACAAATCAGTTACCCCAGGAAAACTGTTTATACAACAATTATTCATGTAAGCCAAAATAAAAGGAAAAAACCTATTGATTTTATGGAAGATTGAAGCAAATACTTACTAGTCAATGATAATCCTAAGTAAACCATAAAGCAAGAGCAATATCTTTTGTCTCTGGCTTGTGATGGTATTAATTTCAAAATAATGATTTTGTTTTGGCTTAAAGCTAATTTCATAGGTTTTCTCCGAGTAGGTCATCTTACCCAGAAACTGTAGAGGAAAATGAAAGTAAAGAGAAACCTGTTATGAAATTTGCCCCAGGTTAACATTTGCAAAGAGTCTAAGAGAAGTATACCATTTAAATGACCATATTAATGGCATTAAAATATTTAATTTGCTAGGCAAATCTAAAATCAAACTTTTCTCTAGAATTTGTAAGAAGACAATCATATCTTCAGAGAATTTGACTTGACTTGAGTACCCTTGTGAGTGGCTGACAGAAAGACCAGATGAAAGCTGGTGCAATAGAATCAAGGACATCACAACTTTAAATTTTAAATCCTCCTCATTGGAGAGCAAGTCCAGATACTGCACCACGACCAGGTAAATGATCAGAAAGTTACTTGGGAACTCTTTGTGGCTGCCTAGTCGTATCGTGGCTGTGGTTGGGAGGCTGATTTCCCCTGGCTGGTATTGCTCTGCACCTTGAATCTGGACATTCGTCTCTACAGCTTCCATCAAATGGCACTAAATGGTGTCCCCATTAATAAGGCCATTGTAATACGTGTAACATAAAGGCAGAGTGAATCAGAGTTCAGGATTACAGGAGTATTTATTTTATTCCAGTGTTTTTAGTGTGTGTCTTTGTCTTTCAAAGAAGGAAGCCACAAATAGGACTTTTTTGGTTTCTGGAGGCTACATTTTCTACCCCTTGAAATACAGGTTTGGCCCACCAGGAAACATGAAATTCTGCAGTCGTGAGTGGGACTCAGGATAGAAAAGGGCTCTGCACCAGGTCCAGGTTGAAATGCAAGCACCCCAACCCCTTGGGCTAGTGCAGACACAGACAATTTGAACAAGGCTATCAACCATCTGGACAAGACTGGTACTTAGAGAACACTCCACCAAACTACAGCAGATTCCGTGGTCTTTCAAAACATTGGCTAATGATACATTATATTTTGGGCAACAAGATATTTCAATAAAATCAAGCTGATTATATCATAAAAATAAATTATTCATAACTGAGGGGAATTTATTAGAAATCAGAAAGAGAAAGTTATCAGAAGGGGGTTGGTGGGAGAAGAAGGAGGGATGAAAAATTACCTATTGGGCGCAAGGTACACTATTTGGGTGATGGGTAATTAAAGCCCAGAGTTCACTACTATACAATACATCACTGTAAGCAAAAACCACTCGTACCCATAAAGCCACTGAAATTCTAAATTTAATTTTTTAAAAATTTGCTGAAAAGAATCTAAATATTTGGAAAATAAGTAAAGTACCATTAAATGTAGTTTGGGGCAAAGAAACAACAAACATGGAAATTACAAAGTACTTTGATCTGAAAGTAAATGTCGCATATCCAAATTTATGAGATTCAAAAAAGTTCAGTTAATTTATAGCAATATGAATGCATTTTATCAAAGAACTTTCCACATCAATCACTGGAAATGTAATCCTGACAAACTAGGAAACAAAGAACAAATGTTACTCCAAAGAACAGTCGTTTATTGTTAGAAATGTGAGGATGTGACAAGCACACATCTAGTATTCCACCAATAGAGTCATATCAGTCTCCAAATGAAAACATCATTAGCAGCTGCACAAGAAGAAAGTATTAGGGTGGATGGGCAGAGTGAGTAACTACTCAGAGAGAATGTGGAGTCAGGGAATGTCAAAATAGGATTCCTATGTGATATTATTATGAGCTGCACAAACATGAGACTACCCGGAGCCCTGACTTACTCATATGCCAAACATCACGGAGTGCGGGCCGCCGTCCATCCTCCTGATAGTTGGTGAGAGTGTGGTCTCTGGGCAAAGGCATGGAGAAGTACCGCGAAGGTCATCAGTGGCAGCAAGTGGGGACAGGACATACTAGGGTCCCCTTACAGTGGCATGACTGAGCATCCCTACAGCCATGAGAACAGCAGGGAACTTTAGGGGCTGCTCCAGGGATGATGTGGCAGCCAACCCTGGAGGGTCAGTGGGACTTCAGCACCCTGTGTGTGGAGAAAGGAGGAGGCTTTGGAAGGTGTCCTGGAGGACCCTGGCCCTGTTCACATAGAAGAGAAACCTGTGCCTGTGACTGAGGCCTCATGGCCTCTTCCTTCCTCAAAGGCTTTCCAGTCATCTCCCTGAGCCCACCTGACTCCAACTGCTGGAGACACAGCCCCTGACACCGCAGCTGCTCCTGCACACTGAGAGGCTGAATTTCCATTGAGGTTTATTTTTGGGGCCATCACACTGTGCAGGGACCTGGTGGGTGTCCTGCTCACAGAAGGCTGTGCAGCATCTCCAGGCTCCAAAGTGGTGTTTGTGATGGTGAAATCCCGAGAATTTTAGTTAGATGTGTTTTCTCACTTATGAATACCTTCTGTAGATCTGTCATTCTGTGCTTCACAAACTCTTTTCTGTAAACTATCTATTCTTTGTTTTTGGACTTTTGGGTTAAGAACCTAATTTTAATTGTGCTATCTTTAGATCCACACTCTTGATTGTGGAAGTGAAATCAACGTATTTTTGGTTCGATGTGTGTTGTCATTCAGGAATATGTGTAGAAAAGTCCTCTGAAGACTTGTCCATCTTTGTATGTGTGACAGATTCTTTCTTATATACCATGCTTTCATTATTCATTTATTTGACATTTCTCCTGGGGAATTCAGTTTTAACTTCATTTACAGTGGTGTGGATCATCCTAGAACAGACAATCATTTCTGATGGGGTTGATTATTTTAAACTGAAAAAAAGTTGTTTTTTCCTTTGGA